TTGGCATGAAATTGCTTTGCCCAGCTAGCTTCTCTTCAGTGGTCCATCATCCCAGCTCTTAATTTCTCCTAAGCCCATAACATACCACAGGGCTGGCCCAAGACCCTGCTAACCTTTGAGACACTGGGGCACAAGTGGGGGGCCCATATACATTACTGCTTGGGTTTCTTTCTACATCCTGGGAAAATGCCAGCATTGATTCTGTTACTCTCATCCTACGCAAGGAAGATGATATGCCGAGAGTGTACGCTTGGCATGTTCAGGGCCACACAACTAGGGAAGATTCTGCTAACCTTGGACATCAGGATTTTGGATCCAGTCACAGGTGGGTGCCCATTGTTTCCTGTTCCATCCTGATTCAGAGCTGTTTAAAGAAAGTCTTGGGAATGTAGAATGGACTTAGCGCTAAGAAAGAAAGTTATAAAATAAAAAAACTACAGTGGTGTTACTGAGAAATTTGTAGCTATAAAACACCCACATGAAAAAATTTAAAAAGATCTCAAATTGATAACCTAAACTTCCACCTTAAGGAATCAGATGAAGAACAAACTACACCCAACAAAGTCAGAAAAAAGGAAGTAGTCAAGATTAGAGCACAGATAATGAAACAGAGAATAGAAAAACAATAGAGAAAAATCAATGAAACCAAAAAGAGGGTCTTTGAAAAGATCAACAAACTTAAACAAGTTTTTAGCTAGATTCACCAAGAAAAAAGAAAAGGCTCAAATTATTAAAATCAGTAATAAAAGAGGGAGCATAACAAAACAAAAGTTTTAAAAGAAATTACAGAAGACTTAACTAAATGGAAAGAAACTGTGTTCAGGGGTTGGAAGACTTAGTATTATTAATTCCCCAAATTGATCTACAGGTTTGGTACAATTCCTATTAAATGCCAGCTGTTATTTTTGCAGAAATTAACATGCCGATCCTAAAATTCCACATGGAAATAAAAGAAGCTCAGAAGAGCCAAACAATCAAGGAAAGAAGGGACAAGTTGGAAGACTCACACTCACTTTGATTTCAAAAGTTACTACAAATCTAGAGTAATCAAGACTGTGTGGTACTAGCACAGGAATATAGGTCAATGGACTAGAACAGATTCCACACATAAGCTCACACATTTATAGCCAGTGTTTTCAACAAAATGCCAAGATAATTTGATGGGACAGAATGGTTTTATCAACTAAGGATCCTGAGACAACTGGATATTCAAGTACAAAATAGTGATAATGATAATAATAATGCTAACCCCTACCTCACACTATATATAAAAATTGCTTCCAAATGCATCAGAAGACCTAAAGTTAAGAGCTAACAATATAAAAATCTTAGAAAGAAAACATAAGTGTAAATCTCTATGATCTTGGATTAGGAAATGGTTTCTTAGATAAGTACCTAAAACATAGGCAACCAAAGAAAAAGTAAATAAACTGGATTTCATCAAAGTTTAAAACGTTTATATTATAAAGAATACTATAAAGAAAGTGAGACAACTAACAGAATACATATTTGCAAATTATATATATTTAACAAGAGTCCGGTATCTAGAATACATGAAAAACTCTTACAAATTAATAATAAAACCACTAATAACCCAATTAAAAATTCAGTAAAAGACTTGAATAGACATTTCTTCAGAGAAAATATAGAAATGACCAACAAAAACAAGAAAGGATGGTCAATATCATCAGTCATTACATGTGGGGAAATGTAAATCAAAACCACTTTACACCCACTAGGATGGCTGCAATAAAAACATCAGCCAGTAATAACAGTGTTAACAAGGATATGGAGAAATTAGAGCCCTCACATTCAGCTGGTGGGTGTAAAATAGGGCAGCCACTATGACAAGCAGTCTAGCAGTTTCTCAAAAAGTTAAACATAGAGTTACAATATCACCCAGCAATTCTACTCCTAGGTATATACCCAAGAGAAATGAAAACACAAGTTTTTATAAAACCTTGTACAAAAACGTTAGCAAGCATAATTCACAATAGCCAGAAAGTGGAAACAACTCAAATGCCCACCAATGGATGATAGATAAACAAAATATGGTATGCCCATAGGATGGAATATTATTCATCCTTTAAAGGACTGAAGTACAGACACATGATACAACCTGGATAAACCTTGAAGACATGCTAAGTGAAAGAAGCCAGTCACGTAGGACCATGTGTTATATAGTTCCATTGATCTGAAATGTCCAGAACAGACAAATCCATAGACAGAAAGTACGTTAATGGTGCCAGGGACTGGGGGAGGGGCTGCGGTGTGACTCCTCACAAGGATGAGGTTAGACGGTTGTTTGTGGTGATGGCTGTCTCGCCTTGTGAATACACTGTAATTATGCTCTTTAAAATACTGAATTTTATAGTATGTAAGGGGTATTTCTTAGTTTAAAAAAAAAACTACAGGAGGAGGTGAAGTGAGAAAAGAAAAGCCACTGGTCCCTCAGAAACTTCTGACTTCCTTGATTGGAAAAAATGAGCCCCTGTGGGACTCACTACCCTTTCTCCCTCTGTGGTAGACCCTTCTGCCCCAGGACTCTGAACAAAGTGTACTAGCGTGAGTACATATGCATACTAGTGCACTGGCATGTGTATGCTAGTGTCTACTAGTGTTTACTAGTTTGTGTGCTAGTTAGCATGTGAGCTAGTATGTATTAGCATATGTACTAGATGTATTAGTGTGTGTACTAGCATGGGTACTAGCATGTGTACTAGTGTGTGCTAGTATGCATAGTAGGCATACTAGTTGTGTGTATTAGTGTATACTAGTGTATATACTAAAGTGTGCTAGTGCATGTACTAATGGGTGTGACAGGCCCAATTCCCACATATGAAAAAGGCCCAAACCCTGCTCAGAATTCACAGAAAAGTGAGCAAGGAGAGGAAGCCTCATCTTGTTTCCTCTCTGGGCTCCTTCCTGCTCCGCTAGAGAGGATGGGCCTATAAAATGAGCTGGAACACATCTAGTACCCAGGTGTTTGCTGAGCACCTACAATGTGCCAGGCCCTGCCCCAAGTGTCGGGGTACAGCAATGAGTAAGAAAATTTACATTCTAGGCCCTAGGGGAAATGCATAAAATACAGCCTTCATCAACCACAAGCACACTGTAGTGCCCAGGGGCGCGGGGTGAGGACACGGAGGGCTGGCTGTGCTCTCTCTAGAAGGGGACAGCTCTTTGGGAACATCTGAGTAGAGATCTGAATTAAGGGGGATCTGGAGGAACGGTGTTCCAGGCAGAGGGTCACAGAAGCAAAGGCCAAGGCAGGGTGGGCTTGCCATGTCTGAGAACCCACAGGGAGGTCATGTCTGGGGCAGCATGGGAAAAGGGGGCCCTGACCCGATGCCATTAGTTCTTCCCCTCCTATGCACATGGGGAAGGAATCAAATGTTGATCTTCAGGGCTAATGAAAACAGTGGGAGACAGAACCCAGAACTTGGTGAGGCAGGTGGTGAACACCCTCCTGCCATTCAAACAGATATTTGAGCAGGAAAATTGTCAACAGAACCACGTTGGCACACAGATGTAAGAAAGCCCTTTCAGAACAAACGGAGTTCATTTCCTTGCATGAATTTGAACCCAGTTAGAACACTGGTGTTGGTTGTGCCCAGTCCTAAGGAGGCATGCTCCAGTTAGCAGTTGTCTGCAAGGATCCAAGATAACCCATGCAGCCTGAGGCCTATGGTTCCAGATCTGTTCCAGCAGCTGGAGGCCTTTCCTCCAGGAAACACTAGGATGCACAGAACCTTCCCGATTCCCACCCTTCCATCATCTCTAAACCAAAGCTCCTTAAAAAAAGCAAAACAAAAAAAGGGGCCATGTGCACAGCATGCTCCTGTGTTTCATAACAAAACCCCAACCCCTCCTCCTGAGTTCCAAGTCACCCGCCCCTGGGATCTCATGTGCCAGCAGTGGGCGTCTGGAAGTAGCTGCATGCCCACATGTGGGCGGCTGCTGATGCTGGCAGGCCGTCCTGAGATAAGACACTTGTGTTTCTGGAAACCACAGCCTAATGTGCACCCTAATAAGACGCAGAGACCAATGGCTGCAGTTCCTGATGCACCACACATGGACTCAGTGGAGGGTGGACACTTTCACCCTGCATCTCATCGTCATGGGCTGGATGGGGCCACTCTTGGGACAGAGCTCGGGGCCCACATCTGCCATGTCTGCCCTCCTCACTCCATTCTCTGCCCAGCCTGATCTTCTGTCTCCCCACCACCAACTCACACTTTCTGGTTCTATGTGAGGCTGGTGTCAAGCAGTCTTAAGTCCTTTTTGAACAAGGAATAACCGATAAATAAACAAGAAAATAGGCAACTCTCTCCTCATGTCTACAAAATCTGAGCACAGCAACTAATTTTTTAGAAGAATGTAAATAATTGAAGGCGTTAAGGATAAAACTCACTGAACTCATTTCTCACATGCTCCCCAGTCCCCAAGTTTCAGATAACAGGGTGTTCTCACCTTCTATATGTTCTGCACGTCCTATACCCTGTCCTTCACTGTGTCCTATATGTGTTCCTACACCGTGTCCTTCACCATGCCCTACACTATGTCCCTACACTGTGTCCTCCCACATGTTCTACAGTGACGGCCCTGCAGCCTTGTGCACTGACCATCGGATGGTGACTGCAGGTTGGGCAGCCAGGACAGGGGCCTCTTAGACAGTAAAAAATGGGGGACACTCCTCACCACCTTCCTCCAGACCCTGCTGGTGGGCCCGAGAGAGTGGAATCTCGCTTCCTCATTCCTAACACCAGGGTGCAGCACCAATCTCTTTGCCTGAACACCTCACACAATAACTGGCTAGTCACCCCTAGGATGAGCATTTGCATTACTGAGTCCATTAAGAGTGTGCTGGGACCTCTACAAATAATGTCATCACGGGGACTGACCAAGTCAGGGAATTCTGATTTCTCTGTTTGAAAATCAACAGCTTGCCCCACTGCCAGGGATCAGAGTTACCATTCCAGGGCAGACTCGTGTCTTACCGCGTGGCCAGCTTGTGGCAGACGACGCCTGTGTCCGTGATGACCTCACTCAGCCTCAGCTCCAGGTGGACCTTGCCCTGAAAGGCACAAGGATAGAGGGTCATGGGGGCACAGAGTGTCTGTTCACAAAGAGTGGTTACATCGATCCCACGTGGAGTCCACCAAACCCCCACCGGCCCCTCTCAGATCCCAGGGAACAGGACGGGTGTGACTCCCCCAGAGGGTCATGTGGGCAGGACCAGGTACTGTCCTTTCAGCCCTTTTTCTCACCTGCAGGACAGAGTGGCCAAAGGGAGGGCGGGAGTAATGGTCAGTCGGGATGCCCAGCAATAAGTCCAGGACACAGGACCAGACCACCAGCACTGCATCTGTGTGATCGCGGGTCTGGGCCCTGCCCTCCTAGCTGACCTCATCCAGCCATGAGCAAACCCTTGGGGCCAGTAAGTGAGGAAGGGGCCTCAGCACCATGCCAGCTCCGCATTTGGGGGTTGGACAATTGCCCAAAGTGACAGCAGCAATGCTTACAAAGCTAATCTCCTGTGGCTCCGTTTCACTGAGCACTGGCCAGGGTTTAGAGCTTTCAAAGTATCCCATAATTCTCAGCATATCCCAAGAGTTGGGCTTGGTCATCCTCTGCTAAGATGAGAACATCAAGGCTGACAGCAACCAGCCCTCTAAGCCAAACCCAGGACCAAAGCTCGTGGTACCGTCAGTGAGAACATATCATGGAGCAGTCTCCTGTGAAGTCTGGTTCCTCGCCTGCCTTCTCCAATGCACTGGGCGCCAACCCTTTCATGGGCCACGGCCATTAAGATTGACATGTCACTAATTCGTTTTAAATGGGCTTGTGAGAAGTGAAAGAATGCGTCTGGGGTGAGATGGAGCCCCCACTGCTGAAGCCCAGCTCGCCGTCCTGTTTCCTGTTTTTCCCAGAAGGGGACGGCAAGTCCACACCAGCAGCCCCCGTGACTGTGCAGGTTTCCTCTCGTAGGGCCAACACTTCCTTACCAAGGTGGCAGACACTGTCAGCCAGTTCATGTCGTTACCCCTTTCTGGAGATTTGGGAGAGCATGGCATGAGGTAAAACAAAACAATGAGACCACTATACCACTGCAAGGACGTCCCCCCCAGAAGTTAACTCGCGGATCTGCAGTTCACAAGTTCACAGCTGTTGTTACACAGCGTCACTGACGGTTCGGGCCACACCTCACGTGGCGTGGGCATCACACCACCTCCAGCACAAACAACCCAGCCACAAATGCCGACGCCCAGGGGGACTGAGGGCCACACCTTACACCTCGGCCCAGGCAGGAAGTTCGGGTTTTCTAGGCTCGGGCCCCTGCACAGCTGGTGTCTGAGCTCAGAGCATTGGACACAGACACACCAGTCTGAGCATCAACCTGCTCAGTTCATACATCGAGTGGCGGGTGGGGGGGGAGGGAGGAAGGAGGCCTGACCTTGCCCTTTCCTTCCTGGAATTCCTTAAACCCTTAGAAAGATTTGCACTGAGTCCTGGTATGTGGACAGCTGTGGACACTGATTGTTTGGGAAATCCTTCAAATAGGATTGTCTGGCACGAGTCAAATTCTCAGAAACGATCTGAATGTGGCTGCGGGGCTTTGCTGTGATAGCTCAATTGTGCTCTTTTCTGAATATATACTTTCATCACAAGTTTACTAAAATAAAACAGAGCACAGAACAGAGATCAGTGGCTGCTGGGCGTCCTTGGAAGAGGGAAGATTCACTGACAGCTCAGTGGGGGGCCTGCTCAGATGGACAGGTGGGGGACTGCCTCCCTCCCCATTCAACGCCGAAAAGGACACGAGGCATGGGAAGAAGGGAGCCCTTCCAGGTTCAGCGTACATTTTTGCAGCCGTGGCTGGCTGTGCAGCAGACCAGATTTCAGGTCTATTCCTGCCAATCGCCTTATTCTGTTACCCAAGTAGGGTCAGGGAAGGCACAGAAGAGACTGATTCTTTCTAATAAAGTGATTTACCAGAGACCTTTAAAGACATCAATTCCAGAAGGAAGACATTTTTAAAAGCTTCCTTTTCCGCCCATTCTGCAACTCGTTGATCTCTCATTGACCCCAGTTTTGTGACTCTTTCAGACATGTGCCTTTTACTATGAATTATAGAGCAGATTGGCTCACAAAAACATATGCCATCCTCTAACCTTCTAAAGACCATAAATGTGACATTTCAAAATGAAACTGTGGCTGTAAGGAAAAGGTTGTAATTGCACCTTTAAAGGGCAGTTTGAATCTGGGGGGCCCTGCTCCCTTGGTGCTTTGACCACATCATGAGGAGGCCCACTAAGAACTAACTACCCTAAGTAAAGCCCTCAGCTCAGGGCCTGGAACTCAGTGGGCAACCAATCAACACTGCCCTCCCTCCTCTTCAGAGTAATAACGATAATGCATTTGCCATTCATAATTCACAATTCCTAGGAAATGGCCCAGTTTGAGTCAGTATCCCACCTCACAGATGATGAGGCCCAGCCTCAAAAGGACAAGGGACTTGTCCACAGGCATGCAAAGGGTATCAGTTATGAAACAGTGCGAATATTCCACACAGCTGTACAATTAACACACACACCCATGTTTATAAGATCTGTGCTGACGGAGCAGTTTTGGATATTCATTGTGGTGGTGATTACCCGAATTTCCACATGTGGTAAACTGCACAGGATACACATGTACACACACGTGAGCATACACATGTGATAAGCAACACAGACTATACACATGTACTTGTGCACACACCAACATGCACACACACATACTGGTATACATGTGTACACATAAAACTGGTGAGACCTTAATGAGGCCTGTGTATAGTGGGGACGTCAGTGTCCCGGCTCTGATGCTACCATGGAGGGAAGTGGGGGGAAGGAACATGGGCGTCTCCACTATTTTTAGTCTTTAAGTATAAATAGGAGAGCACACAATTTGCTAATCATTATGCCCTGTGTACTTTCTTGTGACTTCCTGTGACTCTGTCACCATTTCAAAATTAAAAGTACCCCAAAAAAGGCAAGATAAAAAGAAAAGTTACACTTGCCAATAAAATCCAACTTCATTCTGGGGTAGCACAGTGGGAAGTAGGTGGCGAAGACTGCTCTAGGCTGCTTGCAGAGCCGTTCTGATTAAGGTGCCACCGGCTGTGTTACTTCAGAATAAAAGTGATGGGGAAATTGGTGAAAGTAGAAGCAGGAATAGTTGCAGTCACAGAGCGCCATTTTACAGCACATCACTTCTGGAGCCTTCTGTCTAAGGACGAGACTTCCAGTCTCCTGGGCAGGCACGGTTGGCTGTTGTATTCTGGATGTTATCGGTCATCTTTAGTGTCAGAACTCTGCTTTTCAACTGCAGGCAGAGTTACTAGCTCTGCAGGAATTACAGTGTCTTCTGGGTCAGAATTAAGTGTGAAGCACCCTCCTCAACCCTTCCCTCTGGCTATCTCTTCGTTAACGTTTGTGGATCCATCCCAATGGCCACAGGGCCTATGGGCCCCACGGCCTCAGCAGGTAGAAACCCTGAACCCCCTGCCTTCCCCCTCAGAGCTCGGCTGAGGCTGAGGTTCCAGGAGAAATCACGAGGACCTGAGGGCCAGCCAGGCCTGCAGATGCTGAGCAAGGAGCCCCCGAGTGGTGTGTGGCAGGCGCACGACATGTCAGGCACTGCCCATCTATTCGCAACACCCTGTATAACAGATGAGGAGACTGAGGCTTGGAGAGGACCAAAGCTGGCAGGTTTCACTAGTGGATGGGGGCACTGAGCCAGGGCCGCCTGTGCCAGAGACCCTATGCTCGGTCACATACCCCTGCTACGCCTCGGTGTCTCACAGGACCCGCTGATGAAAACACTGGTGTGTCTCAGCGTCAGGGCCTCTGTGCTGCAGGTCATGGCTCCCAGTCTTGGAATTCTAGACACTGGCATGGAACAGGCTTGACTGGAAACCACACAAGCCAGGGTCACAGAGAAGAGAAGATGCAGCTACCCTCCTAACAGGTGTTCAGGTGTGCTCCTAGACACTTAGCACAGGGAGTGACCCTGAGTTCCAGGCAAGTCCAAGGGCAGCCTTATGGGGAAGGATTGGGACCCTGGATCCTCGCAGTCTCCCCTGCTAGGAGGAGAAACCCCCAGTCCTGGGGGTAACTCCTTCCACTGGACAGGGGAGTCAGTCCCAGTTAACACATTGCCCAGCAAGCCAGGGTGAGCCCAGGACCCTCAGACGATGGGAACCTCTTCGGAGTGGTCACTTCTTTTAGTTCTAGATCCTTCTTTGCTGAGTGCAGGGAGCTTGAAAACACATTCGGTGGCTTCCAACAAGCACAGCAACCTGCACTGTGAGGTTCCATGTGCAGGTCTCACCCTACAGCTTCATTTTTTCTTACCCATATTTTCTCTTCACCTTCAGTTATGTTATTGTTCTTTCACATTTTGTATTTTTAAAGCTGCTTCAACCACGCATGACAAAGTATGACAATACCAATTCGACAAACAAAATTAGCAAGCCTACACTACTGTAAATAGGACACAATTTGCTAAACTTTATTCCTTGTTAAGACCAAAACCCCGTATCTACTTCTTTGACCACAAGCAGAGTCTTCCAGTCCCAAAGACCTCCTGTGTTCCAAGGGCTCCGCCAAGGGTCTTACCTGAACTTCTGAGTCAGCGTCAACGTGCTGCAGCTGGAACCAGGTGTCCCTGTTATGGTACTTCTGCAAGTCTTCCTTCTGAATGGCCACCTTCCCTAAAACATACAATGCAGAGGAAAAGCAGTCACAGGAGGAAACAAATCTTCCAGACCCAACAAAGTTCATAAGCAGAAGTCATTCCATTTTTACTGCCAATTATTTCAAATGGTATAATCCAAAATAGATAACCGGGTAAAGTGATGACACCAGATTGTCTCCCTTCATGGAAGATCAGTGCATGCAACATTTCATCTTGAAGGTGCCCCTGTCCCAACCTATTAGTGGAACACATATCACATGTCATTTCCACAGGGATCACAGATCTGCCTGCTCTCACAATGGGAGCGCAGCCTGGGTGTGGACAGGGCCCACATTGTATGAGCACTTTTACTACTTGCATGTTAGCCAAGGTGGTTTTAGTGAGTTGGGGGCACTAGATGGGGGTTCTTTTCTAAAGATGAGAAGACAGCTCTGCAAGGCGTCTGCACAGTGAACTGCTCAGGACCAACATGATAAAGCTGGTCCAAGTGCCAGAGTGTGAAGGTGTCGGGAGAGTCAAGATTTGCTTCCACCGACACCTGCCTTCAATCCCCATCTATCCATCATTGTGCCATTCATTATTTCAGCATATTTACATGGTCTCATATTCTCAAAGGGAAGGTAACTGTGCCTCACACTCCCCATACTGCAAAGGAGACTTGGGAAGGACCCTGGACTCATTCAACCAGGGCTCCTTAGTTCAAGGCCAGCTAATTCCACACAGCCAGTATTTCTGACCACCTTGCAAAGTGGACACAGCACATAAGCATTCCAAGGGTCAATACTATTGTTCATGTCAACCTCACTGGTTCAGCTCTCACTGGGCAGCGCCATCTGGAGCCAAATCCTGCCCAGCCACATACTTCATAATGGTTTAAGCCACTGCATACAGTCAAAGTCGGCAGGTGAAAGAGCAAGAGAGGCAGATGCAGGAAACACGCAGAGTATGCAGGCTTCAGAAAGTATATTCCAGAGAGTTTCAGAGAGACCCAGATTACAGGCCACGTGGAACTGCCTCCAACAAGCATCAAGTTACAAGGGCAGAATGGCCCCCCAGGGCTCATCTCAAGCTCCTCCCCACACCTTGGTCTTCCCCTCCCACCACAAATTGCCTCAGTGGGCATCCCACTGAGGTTCTGACAGTGGGCCCTGCCACTTCTGGCCATTGCTCAACACACCCAAGTCACCAAGAAGACCAGCCCCCAAGAGGAGACTCCTTCCTCTCTGCTTGGCTCCTGTAAAACTCTTTTCCCCCAATGGGAATATGATTTTGAGTCTTGCAAAAAAAAAAAAAGCCACATGAAACAAAACATTTCTTGGAATTGAATTGGACAACATATTTCATTGAAAAAGAATTAAAAAATATTGAGACTCCATGATTAGTTCAGCTGGATAAGAGGATTACATTTGAAGTCTGAAATGTTAAGTAATTGCAATGCTTTTATGAGCTTTAACTGTCATAGGGAGGAGTCATGTATCTCATGCTTATATGAATCCTACAACTTACATATCATTACTCGTTACTTCCGGAAGTACTTAATGCAATATTAAGTAGGTAATACAGGGACATGGTACAAAATGTGAAACATTCAAAAGAATATAAAATACAGGCAAGTTTATGTTCCTCTTTCCCTTGCTACAGTTTTGACTCGAGGGTTCCCTCTGTCACTGGCTTCCAGTCTACCCTTCTAGAGCTCGGTCACATTCAAGAATATACAATGTGCACTTTTAAAATGTGTAATCGTGTTCCTAAATGCTGCTCTGAGAGAATACTCAATTCACAACCATAACATCAACTTAAATGTCTTAATCCGCAGAGCTGCCCCAATCTATCAGAGTGACATTAAAAGATCACTAAGCCACTCTGGGCCTTATTTTCTCACTTGGACAGAGTGGCGCTGCCTGCCTTTTCATCACTAACACCCCCATGTATTATTTCCTTTGGTGGGCGCTGTACGTGTAGGGTCTGTTCAGAAGACAGAACACACCAGGTAGTTCAACAGAGGGCAAGCGACATGGGAAACCAGGTACAGAGGCATCAGAGGACGTGGGGAAGGTGATTCACCAGGGTGAAACCTGCAAGAAGGCCGACCAATCAGACTTAATGAGGGACAGCCCAACGCTTTCCTGAGACTGAATCAGCGGAAGAGAAGTTTGTTCTCATCTCTCCTGTTCAACCTGGTATCCTAGTCAGTGCATAAAGGCAAGAGAAAGAAACAAGGGCACATAGACTGGAAAGGAAGAAATAAAAGTATTCACAGAATCTATAGGAATATCTACAAGACAAGCTAGTAGAATAGGTGTGTTTAGCAAGACTACAGAATACAAAGTTAATGCATAGAAATCAATTGTGTTTGTGCATAAAAGCAATGACAATGGAAATTGAAATTTTAAAGAACCAACAGTATCTTTCACAAAATGATGCTTCTATGGCTTGCAATTTTGGTGTACTACCTAAAAAATTATTTGTCTACTCCATCAAAAATGAAATATATAAGGATAAATAAATAAATGTGTGTGTGCGTTGTCTGCAAAATGTGTATGCTGAAAAGACATCACAAACACTGATGAAAGAAATTAAAGAAGGCCCAAGTACATGGAAAGATATGCCATGTTGAAGGATCTGAAGACTAAAATTTTGTTAAGATGTTAATGCTCCCCAAATTAACCTATAGATAAAAGCAACCTCAGTGATTTTGGAAATTAAGAAGCTGGTCAAACATCAGAAAAATGCAAATTAAAACCGCAATGAGATACCACCTCACATTTGTCAGAATGGCTATCATCAACAAATCAACAAACAAGTTTTGGCGAGGATCTGGAGAAAAGGGAATCCTTGTGCACTGTTGGTGGGAATGCAGATTAGTGAAATCATTATGGAAAACAGTGTGGAGGTTCTTCAAAGAATTAAAAATGGAATTGCCTTATGACCCAGAGATTCCACTTCTGGGAATATCTCCAAAGAAATCCAAAACAGTAATTTGGAAGAATATATGTACCCCTATATTCATTGAAGCATTATTTATAATAGCCAAGATATGGAAGTAGTCCAGGTGCCCATCAGTAGATGAGTGGATAAAAAAAGCTATATTATATTTACACAATGAGATACTACTCAGCCATAAAAAAAGGAAATCTTACCTTTTGTTAAGACATGGATAGGCCTAAGAGAGTATTATGCTAAGTAAAATAAGCCAGTCAGAGAAAAACAAATACCACATGATTTCACTTATATGTGGAATCTAATGAACAAAATAAACAAAGAAACAAAACAGAAACAGACTTATAAAGAATAGACTGACAGCTGTCAGAAGGGAGGCCCTAAGAGCTGGGGGGCTGGGTGAAAAAGGTGAAGGAATTAAGCAGTAGAAAATGATAGTTGCAAAATAGCCACAGGAATGAAGATTGCAGCATGCAGAATATAGTCAATAATGTCGAGAAAACTGGGTGTAGGGCCAGGGGACAGCAGGGGGACCACTCTGTAGAGTGCATAGTTTTTTGGCCACTTTGCTGTACATCTGCAACTGGTGCAGAATGGTATTGCATGTGTTCTGTGGTTGAAAATTTTTAAAAGTGAAGCTAGTTAAAAAATGTAAATGACAGTTCAAAGGCCCTAGAATAGCAAAACAAGTTTGGAAAAGAACAAAGTTGGCCACATCCTCAGTGGATACAACCTTCCCTCCTGGACTTGAACCCGCAGAGGGGCACACGTGCGGCTGCACCAGGAAAACCTAAAGGTGAGTGTGGGCTCCTCCTGTGAGGCCAGTAGATCAGACACAGGAGACTGTGAGAAGCCAGTGACAGCGTACTCATTTCCGTGACACAAATTTATACCCTAGAGCTTGGCTTCTCATACTGGTAACAACATAATTACTAGTCATAACTTTAAATTATTCCTGGAGATTCAGACAGCCACTTATTTTTACAGCTGTAAAAACGATGGTGAAAACATCTAAGTCCAATTGCAACTGACACACCATAATTTTAAAGCCACCGAGAATGGCCAAGCCATGATTTTGCTGGTTATCTTCAAAAATAGCAGGTACCTTAAACAGAATGATTAATAAGCAACTTATTTGATTATTTTGAGGAGAAATGACCCCAGAACCAATGTGATCAGGTTCTCTGGTTAAAATGCACAAAAATACTTTAAAATTTCTTTTTCCTTAGGATTACCACTAAAAAAGTTCATGTTCCTCCAAGGATTAATTGAATTCCTCTCTAATACACTCCGAGCCCATCACTAAGATCAATACTGTATCTCCATATTCACCTTCACCAGTCAGACCAGTGTGTCCAATGCAGCCACAGTGTCACTGGGTAAAATGTCAACTTCTAACCAGACAGCTTATGATTCTACACTTCTGCTCTTCCCTCTCCTTCTTCCTTCCATTCCTCCTTGAACAAACCTTGGCACACCCAGTAGGTGCTGGATAGAGATAAATCCAGGTCTTCCCTCAAGGAGCTCCAGGCCATAGGAAGTACAGTCCAACAAACATATGACAGGAAGCAAAACAAATCCTCCAGCAGGTGAAGCCATGGAGAACGCACACACTGAGGGGACACCTCGCTCAAGTACCATTTCTGGCTAACCGGGTTCTCAGGTGGGCAGCGGTAACCAGGTGGGCATGGGGGTGAGGAGAGGGTTCCAGAGGTGGGTGCCATTAGAGGAGGCAGTGTGAGTCAAGGCCAGGAGGCAGGGGCACCAGGAGGGAGACTGGAAGGAATCGGGAGGGCCTGAGCCCGTGTCTGGGGTTGAGTTGGACAGGAAGGAGGAATCCCTTGGCAGGGTAATCACAAAGGGCTTGAATGTCAAGCTTAGGGTTTAGGAGTCATCCTGAGGGCAAAAGGAGCCCTGCAGGACCTGAGCAGTGGAGTCCCATGGTCAGATCTGAATTTCAGACCCATCACACCAACAGAGATCCATGAGGTATGGCTGCCATCAAGACTCAGAAAGTACATGCTGTCATCTCTCAAACCCTTCTTCATCAATTCCTTCAGAGTCAAGGATTTCGTTGGATGGTGATGGTGGTGGTGGTGAACGGTGAATGGCAGGTGATGAGTGGAGGGTGGTAGAGGACAGATGATGAATGATGGATGGTGGATGGTAGATGGTGGATGGTGATACCAAATTGCAACTCATGGGAGGGGATGGTAGTGGTAGGTCATGGGGGATGACATCTTGTTCTGATATGAATAAGTAATCCTTCTGCCATCACCATGCCCATCTTCTACCACCACCAATATCCACCATTTTCCAGGCCCATCTATGTCCCACCACCTACCACCCACCACCCACCTGGTCTTGTAAGCCCATAACCAGAAATCATCCTGGACTTCTCCCCCACCCACCCCCAATTAGGCTCCACATTCAATCAACTATTGCCTCTAAATACAGGCAATGAAGCATAATCCAAAATAAGGTCAAGAGCTCAGTAGCACACACCTGAGAACCTGCGTGCCAAGATCTGAACACCAGCTATATCACCTAAAATCCGTGTGACTTGTCTGTACCAGTTTTCTCATCTGAAAAATGCACCTACTTCATAGAGTTATGAAAATTAAATGAGTCAATATTTGTAAAGCACCTAGAACAATACCTGCACATAGTAAATGCTATGTAAGTATTTGTTACATAAATAAATGAGATGAATATGCACCAGATACTTCAATTTACATCTCCCTTCCTTTCCTACAACATGAATTCATGCCAGAAAGTTCCAGAATAAACAGGCAGCACTTTCTATTCTTCCTGAGCGAGAGTATGGAAGATGGAAGAAATGACAGAACAAAAAGGCAGCTCACTGACACCAGATGGCTCATTAAAGCCGGATGGTTGGGTTTAACCTCCTAGGATCAAACACTAATCTCTATCTACACCCATCCAAAATGTTTTTAGTATAAGCAACAGAGTTCACTTAAGTCTCAAAACATGAATGCTTGATAAAACTTTCATAAAGTTGTATTATTCTTCAACTAAGCCACCCTAGACAATATAAAACAAGAGTCAACACATCCTACTCCTGTCCAAAGGCTCCTCACTGCCCCACCTGTTTCCTTCCTAAGTGCTAGGTTTGTACTGCCTTGGAAGCCTTATTCACCCAACTTCAATAGACCAAATAAGAGGCGTTGCAATGGCTCATGGAGATGACTCAAGGGTAGAAAATAAGCCACACACATGGACTAAATAAGGAATTCACATGTGAACCAAGGTCCTGAAAAGGAAAACAGTGAAGGAGAGAAGGAAATGATGGAGCGTGAGATCAGAAAGGGAGGAAGGGGGGGCGGCAGGGAA